GCCTTGACGATGAAAAAAGAGATTGTAACGGCCATAAAAGTCGTACCGTGGCAGATAGTCATAAACAAGCTTTAAGGTCCACTAAAAGTTAGTCAAGGCTTTGCACATGAATCGCCGTAACCGTAAAGAGCCGTCTACAATGGAGAGTTGTAGGCCGTAATAGTAAGAAATTGACCAATCACAGACAAAATACAGAAGAATAATCGATTGTGATTTGTCAATTTCTTACTGTTACGGTCTAAAACTCTCCATTGTAGACAACTCTTAAGAATCGACCAATTATATTAAAAATTGGGTGCGTTCAGATACCTCAACAGTTGCACAACGATTGAGAGATAATCACTTCTGATTGGATCATACTTTTGGAACCGCAGATTTTGAAGAATAGTCCTATCATAAGTGATGATCTCTCAACCGTTGAGTTGTCTGAACGCACCCAATAGTTCATTTTGTACAAATAAAAAATATGGGAAATAGTAGGAATTTTGGCAAGCCTGGTTGGGAAAAAACGATTTGAGAATCTGGCAACACTGCATCAACGCTCAGCAATTGCTAATACGCAGTCATTCTTTACTTTTCGTTGTTCTTTTGTCTTAGGGCCTTCGCACAAACTCTTTCTTAACGCGTTACGTTACGTTAAGTACTAGTTTGTGCGTTGAATAAAGTTCAAGTTTACATACAAATTTAAGTTTATGACTAGTAATTAACGTTACGTTACGTTAAATATTAGTTTGTGCGTTGAATAACGTTCAAGTTTACGTACAAATTTAAGTTCATAGCCAACTTAACGTAACGTAACGCGTTAAGAAAGAGTTCGTACGGAGGCCCTTAGGGTGCCAGTACAGTCGGCGTCAATGAATCGTTTCGTGGACGTTGGGAGCTAGGGGTAAGAGGGACGGTATTCCCTAGCAGTAAATACTGTAATTGGTCAATTCATCGAAATCTGCTACAGTTAGTTACTGCAGCGCCCGTTGGCAGTAATTACTAGGGAATACCGTCTCTCTTACTCCTAGCTCCCGGGGCTACGAAACGATTCATTGACGCTGACTGTACATGAAGCGCGGAAACGCGAAAAATGGTAACTAGATTCCGCGTTTCCGCGAATTGAGTTTGTTTCTTTCCGCACGTTTGAGCGGAAAAGCAGAATCTGGTATTTCCGTGTGTATCAAGTATACAATTGTATACATAAGTATACAATTGTAATATTTCAAAATAATCATCAACATGATGTTTGGATTCATGATGCACTTTTACAATAATCAAAGTAAGTAATTTAAAATAATCAGATAAAGTAATAATGTAAGTTTTCTTTTTCGGCTCCAAAATTTAATAGAGCTTTCTTTTTAAATCAGCTCCAAAATTTGAGAATACACTGTATTCGCGTTAACAAGACTTCTTTTTTGTTTGATGGTTCTAAAAGAATCTCTGCCACATGGCCAGGAATCGCGTTGACAATATTTCGACGCTCTTGTTCCGCGGGTTTGTTTCTCCTTATATTACATGAAGCACAATTACGCGGAAAATCAAAACGATATAGTGACAAATAGATATTTGTATTTATTTAAAAAAATTGATTTCTTATAATTTACTGCAATTTCTATTAATATACTTATTTTTTCAGTTTATCTATTGAATACAAACATTTTGATCAGTAAATATTGTTAAAAATTGATATTTTATAATTTTCCGTTACGCTTTTCCGCACAATATATGCTCCATGTAATATAAGGTAATCAAAACAGACGGAACGGAACGCGCGGAAACACAGAAATCTAGTAAAGTCTAGTTACTTTTGATTTCCGCGTTTCCGCGCTTCATGTACTGGCACCCTTAGGGCAATGTCCCATTGAGCGGAAATCTATAGCGGAACGGAATATGCGGAACCAGCTCGACCAATCGTAACCACAGAAAAAGCGAAGGAAAGAAAACGGAATGGCTATGATTGGTCAAGCTGGTTCCGCACATTCCGTTCCGCTATATATTTCCGCTCAATGGGACATCGCCCTTAGACTGTACTCGTATAAATTTCTACCAATCAGCGACAACGAGACAAAGACAGAGATCCTAGTTGTAATGCTTTCTATAGCCCGTTCTACATTGCCCATGTTCAGCAGACTGAGCAGATCAGTGAGCGCTTAGTGATTCTTCAATATGATTGGTTTCTACACTTAGATCCAGCGAAGATCTAAAGGCAAGATTCAATCATATTAAAGAATCACTAAGCGTTCACTGATCTGCTCAGTCTGCTGAACGTGGCCATTGATTGCAAGCGCAAACGCAAGGTGTAGATCTCGTAGAATTGACCAATCGCGCTGGTCAATTGGCTGATTTGATCAATACAATTAATCAATTCTACCAGACCTGTTCTTTGCGTTTGCGCTTGCGATCAATGTAGAACAGGCTTATCGCGAACAGCTCGCACAATGGCAAAGCGCCATTCCATATTATAGTTCAGTGCTGCCAGCGCTAAAGACCTATAGTTTACGTCACATATATTATACAATTTTAGCACTGGTAGCGTGCTGAC